TACTGATTCTGCTTGATTATAATATGTAATTCAAAATGCTGTTATTAATGCTTTTAAATAGATTAACATTTTCCCCAAGAGCAGATAACCTCCTACTTTAGGACTTATTGTTAATGGTCCTTGGGGGGACGGACATGGGATAAGGCTGTGGAAGGGTAGTGGTGGACGGATTTTGAAGCTGGTGAATTCATGGTGGAGGCCATTGGGATTTAACCTCCGAAGGTAAAACATCAGGTGTTGTTCCTCCAGTTTGGCCTCATTGACAGTGGAGACAGCCAAGGATGGACTTGCCGTCAAGGGTGTGGGAGGGGGAAGTAAAAAGTGAGTAGCAACTGGAAGGTCAAGTTGGTTGATGCGTGCAGAGCACAGATGTTCCGCAAACTGGACCGAGTCTGCATGTGGTCTTCCTGATATTGGGGGGAAGAGACAGAAAGAGGGAGAGAGAGTGTGCGCGTGCACGCACACATGCGCGGGGTGGACAGATTTCGTTAAAATAAAGCAGGATCTGGCCACAGTAGACTGGAACAACTCGTGGGTATGTCTACTACAAGAACAATAGTTGGGTTTATTCAAAAAGGAGCTGGGAAGAGCAAAGGTCTGACATGTGCCTTTTAGTGGGAAATACAGGAACAATAAGTTGAGAACCCTTGATGTTCAGGACAATTCAGTTTTGGATGAGGAAGAGAAGTAGGGCTTTTAGGAAGTCCAAAGGGAGCAATTCAGCTGCAGCCAGACAGGAATGCAGGTGGCGTAGGAGAGAACTTAAAGCGATAAGAGTAAAGAGGGGGCAGGAAAATGAAATTGCCAACAGGATGAGAGAGAATCCCAAGATACTTCATAAATACATTAAAAGGGATCAGGTTGACCAGGGAAAGAGTAGGGCCCATTTCAGACCAAGGGGGCAACCTGTGCGTGAAGCCGTGGGATTTTGGAAGGGTGTTAAATGAATACTTGTCTTCACACTGGAAAAGGAGAACATAGGTACAGAATTCAGGAAAGGAAGTGAAGAACTCGCACAGTTTGACACAGGAAACAAAGGAGGCATTGTAAGCCCATCAGTGCTTCCAAATGGACAAATCCCCTGCCCCAGATGAATTGCACCTCAGGCTACTGTGGGAGGCAAGGCAGGAAATTGCAGGGACTCTGACAAATTTTTAATTCCTCTGGCCACAGATGAAGTGCCAATGTGGTTCCACTTTTTAAGAAGGGTGACAAAGATGAACCAGAAAGTTACTATCACGTCAGTGGGAAACTATTGTAGAAAATTCTGAAGGAGAGAATTAATATCTACTTGGAAAGGCATGGGTTAATTAGGCTTTGTGAGAGGGAGGTCAAACCTAACAGGTTTGCTAGAATTTGTTGAAAATGTGATCATGTGGATGAGGGAAGTTCAGATGAAGTTTAAATGGATTTTAGCAAGGCTGTTGACAAGGTCCCATATAGGAGACCAATTGAGATGGTCAAAGCACACGGAATCGATGGAAACCTGGCAAAATGCAGAAACTGGTTTTGTAATGGGACACAAAGGGTAGTGATAGAAGGCTGTACGAGTGACTGCAGGCTGGTTGAGTGGTGTACTGTGAAGATAAGAACTGGGACCCTTATTGTTTATTATATACATAGATGATAATGTAGGGGGAATGTTAAGCAAATTCAATAAATGGGACGACTCTGGGTAGCTTAGAGGAACAGAGATCTTGGGGTAATTGTTCACAGATCCTTGAAGTCAGTAAAGCAAACGCAGAGGATAGTTAAGGAAGCATATGGGACACTTGCTTTCATCAGTCGTGGCACAGAGTATGAGAGCTAGGAGGTAATGTTGCAGTTGTACAGAGCATTGGTCAGGCCACAGCTGGAGTACTGTATGCAGTTCTGAACACCTCACTACAGGATAGATGTGATAGCACTAGTAGGGATACAGAGGAGCTTCACCAGGATGCTGCCTGGGGTGGAGCAAATAAGTTATAAAGGAGAGACTAGATAGGCTTGGATTGTTTTCTTCAGAGCATAGAAAACTGAGCAGGGGTGTGGGGAGAACATGATCGAGGTGCATGTGATGAGGGGTATGGACAGGGTGAAAAGAGCAGTTGTTCCCATTGGTTGAGGGGGGTCAATCATGAGAGGGCATAGTTAAAGGTAAGGTACAGGAGATTCAGAGGATTTGGAAGAAAAATAAAAAACTTTTTCACTCAGGTGACGGGAATGCACTACAAGCTGGAAACCTTAAACTTTAAAATTTGGATGAGCACTTGAAAATCATAACATTCAAGGATATGAGAGAAGTGCAGGAAATTGGGATTGGCACACTTTTAGTGATAGTTATTGATGGTGCAGACTGAGTGGGCTGCGCTACATGACTCCTGACTACAAATCTTGCATTTCGCTAAGATACTCTTCTTGGCTGACAACTCAGCACTTTATGGCCTGAACCAGCAGAGCTTTGGGAGGATAGATTTATTGGATATTTAAATCTTTAATTATGTTCAGAATTCTTGTTCAACTTGAACATGGGATGAGCTAAAGTGCCAAATCTTCATGATTGGGTTGATCAGACCTCACTTGCCTACTTGTCAGTGGAAGTGCCACTACATAACGATGCCAAAAAGGGACATGCACACAATACTTACATTTTCAACCCATCTTGTTCTCAATTTAAGAATCTAAATTTTACATTTGCACCCATTCTAAAATGCTAACAGATTAATAAAATTGCCAGATCCTAACTGTTGAATGTATACCATGATCTTTTTGCAGAGCACTTTTAAACAATTAAGACAAATATCTTGATTCTGCTGATTTTGCTATCATCGTCATGCACCAAATTTACAAGTGTAACAAGGCAGTATGGGAATGACAAATCCTGTTTTGTAGAACATTTTTATTTCTGAATTTTCAACCAAGTTTCCTTGGGTCACCCCCAAAATAGTAAAAGGATTTAGTAGGGCCAGGCTCTGCTGTAAATTCTCAACAATTGACTTCTTGATCCTTCAGCTATCTGCTACCTAAACCTTATGTATTTAGTTCAATATTTCCAATTCTTTTCTACAATCTCTCAACTTGCCATTCAATCAGCACCTCAGATTTTGGAATAACATCCTTGTTTCAGCTCTCAAACAAAGACCGGCCATGCATCTTTTCATAATATTAAAAAAGAACTTGCTATTTAGGAGAAGCCCTAACTTCAAATATTGAGTTAGTCACAAATTGTATACTGACAGATCTGCTTAACAGGACACAACTTAGAGAATTGGTGAAAAAACACAAGTCGTTTAGATATTGCCTCGATTGCTTCTGGGATCTTTAACTATTATTCTGATATTAAGCAAAATTTAAAAAAATTAAATTTCTCTTTTCCTCAAAATAAAGTTTTGACCTTCGGAGCATACTATCTTTGAACTTTACATAAATTAAATCCCTTTGATGAGTAAAATGTGTTCATTGCAGCATCCGTTGCCTCTCCTCCCCACTCCACTATCATCCCCCCAACAAACAAGGCTTTCTATGAGGTCTCCACCTTGCCCAGCAGTCAGTTAGCTCAGTTGGTTGGATGGCTGGCTGGCTTGCAATGCAGAGTGATGCCAACAGTATGGTTCAATTCCCACAGCAGCTGAGGTTACCAAGAAGGACTCTCCTTCTGAACCTCTCCCCTCACCTGAAGCATGGCGACTTTCAGGTTTAACCACCCGATGTCATTCTGACGAGAGCAGCCCTATGGCTCTCTAGGACAATGGCAATTTTACATATCATAGAACCTCTACAATTTGGAAACAGGCCCTTCAGCCCAACAAGTCCACACCGACCCCTGGAGCATCCCACCCTGACCCACTCCCCTATAACCCACCTAAGCTGCACACCCCTGAACACTGCAGGCAATTTAGCATGGCCAATTCACCTAGCCTGCACACCTTTGGACTGTGGGAGGAAACCTGCACAGGGAGAATGTCTGTGTGGAGTTTGCAGTCAGCGGAGGGTGAAATCGAACCTGGGTCCCTGGCACTGAGGCAGCAACCACTGAGCCACCGTGCTGCCCCCATAGAATAAAGTCTGAACAGCTTGGTCATCGCACAAAAATAAGCGAATATGTTGGTCATGAAGACCTCAACAGAAGACAGATGGTATTTAAGAAGTGTGACATCTGCACTCCACAACACTCGCATTTTAATTATCAATATTTGCTTACCTGAACGCTCGAAACAGAATGCATGCCAAAACAGCAAATATATTGCACAAATGGCAGCACATCCCTTCAAATGTGCCAATTCTTGCACCAATCTTCCCAGTGTCAAGATCAAAATTCATCAGAAAAATACTTTAGTATGTTGTAGCAGATATAAACTGAAATCACCACCTCAGTGGCAGCACAGGCAAGGGCACACCCCATCTGCATCAAGGATGCAAATTAAGGCAATCCATACTGGGATGGCCAGAGAAGTCACAACATTTTAAAACTCAAAACTCCGTATAATGTTGTATTCAATTTTCCACACCTTATTTAAATTATTTTCTTTTGTAAGTATTAGCAATGATAGTGGCCTAGCCAGCCACTGATAATACATAATATTCATCATGCATTGCAATTAATCTGACGTTCAACACAAGTGTAATTATAGTTGATTTAAGAGTCTTAGAATATTATGGATATATCCTTTTGTTTGATCTTCAAAGTTAGTGAATAAATCATATGTCATAACAAAAATTAAAGTCAAATCAAGGCGAACAGATGAGCATTTTTGCATCAGATTACTTTATCCAAAAATGCCCTCAGGTGAGACGATTGAAACTATGTATTTGGAAGATAAAATAGATTTTTTTTAAAAAAAACAGAATCGCGTACAAAAAACCAAGCCAGTGGATAAGATCCTTTCTCCAAGATAGCATTGAAAGAGGCCAGCACAAAAGTCACATGGGCTGAGAGCTTTCTAGTCCAGAAAAGTATTACATATTTAGAGATGACTGCCAAAATAGAAGTTAAACTACTCAGTAAATTCCTAACTTATTACCTCTTCAACATTAGAAGCAGTCTTTGCAGAAGTCTCCATGAAAATGAGGCCATGCTCCCTTGCAAAAGCTTCCCCTTCATCTTTCTTCACTTCTCGTCTTGATTCCAAGTCACTGTAAGACAGAGTGTTTGCCAATATTTAAAACGGAAAACATTCATTTTTGTTTACTTCCTCCTGAAGAAGCCATTTCATGTCACAATACAATTGCGTAAATATTCAGCACGTGCAGCCTAGACAAAAAAGGAACATACACAACAGCTGATACTGTTATTACAAACTTCATTTCACAAAATATTGGCATCTAAATAGAAATCCTTTAGAAAAGGATTTGACAAATTTATTACTCTTATCTCAGACCAACAGTGGCACGTCATCAACTCATTCAACATCACTAGTAACAACCAAAGGTGAGATTAGAATAATCCCAGACAATTATCAAATGACTCAAAGGATGTAAATTTTGTTTGAAGTATGCAACAAAATTCAGGGAGTCAGCTAGATTGAGAAAACTCAATCTCCCTTAATATAAAAGATAACAAAGAAGTGGGAAATTTTTGCATTTTCTTGGTATCCTTTCAATTAGAACATTGTTAATAAGCATGATATCAATATAGTCCAGTTCATATTACAGTCAGATTTGTGGTATTCTACCAAGTTGGTTTGTAGAGAGTGTTCCAAGACATCTTTACATTCACAGTTTCTAGTCACATTCTTAATTTCCACAATCAAAATTAATTTAGTTTAATTCTCTTCCACAGCTATTAATCTCGTGGATAACAAAAAACACAAGTTGCTTGAAAAGCTCAGCAAGTCTGGCAGCACCTGTGAAGAGAAATCAAAATTAGTGTTTCTGGTCCGATGACCCTTCCTCAGAACTGCTGACTCTTTCCAGCAGCTTGTGTTTTTAAAGTTCAAGAAGACTTGTAGCTCACGTTGTGGATGAGGTTGTAGACATGCTTGCCGTGCCGGTGGGGTTGGTTGTAAACGTTTCGTCACCTTGCGAAGTAAAATGATCAGTGAGCCTCTGGTGAAGCGCTGGTGTTCTGTCCCGCTTGTTTTTTGAGGCACATAGATAACAAGCAGGACAAAACACCAGCACTTCAGAGGCAGACTAACAACGTTACCTAGCAGTGATGAAACGTTTGCAACCAACCTCACCAGCTCGGCATGTTTACAACCTCAATTTCTGTTTTTGTTTGATTTACAGCATCGAGTTCTGTTTTTACTTACTACTTTTGAAGAGTTCATAGTCACGAAAAACAGCATGGTGGTAAATTCCATTCAAAACAGAATTGGATAGGAAACCTCAATGGAAACAAAATAACTACAGGGAAAGAGGAGAGACTGGTACAGACGAGACCTGTATTGAAAACATTTGGGGATATTATTCTTATTCTAAGCTTTTTGTCATAGATCCATAGTCAAAAACAGTGCCAGTTCTTGGTAACTTTCTAGATCACTACACATCATAAAATTTTACCTCTTATTTCCAATGAGCATGATGACCATGTTGGAGTTGGAATGCTGGCGAGCATCTTCTAACCAAGTTGTCAAGTGATTGAAGGTGTCCCGCCTGTGAAAAAATAGGGAAATAAGTTTTAAACCTCAATGTTAATTGGTATGCTTTCACACATTTAGCATTAAATGCAAGCCAACTTGCAAATTCCTAACTTTATCCATTTTTTCTGATCTCCATTTCAGACACATTAATGCCAAATGCAATCCTGTTTCTCTAACCATTTGTTGGAATTGCTCCAATGACTTTCATCCCAACTACAACAGGTAAACTACTTGGTAAAAGACAGTGGACCCCATTCTTCCTTGGTTATTCTGCTGTAATCTTGATCATCACCCACTTCCTCCCTTGTGTTCCCTTCTAACCATACAACACATCACAGTTTGACAATTATCTACTCCAAAGACTTCTCCCACAAAATCAAACTGGTCGTTTTAACATACCCCAAGACTCAATCTTCAGTCCAATCTATGACACCCACAGATGTCACTATCAGTGGGGAACAGTCATAAGCATGAGGTTAGGTTCTATATTTTTCACCCAAACATACCCTTCTGCCACCATCTTCAACTCAAGACATGCCACGTGAGACTGCCTGGTTATCAGGTAATCAGCCAGGACCAAACGTGCCCTGCTTGCCTCCCACCAGAAACTGAATTTCACAGACAGCCGTACTTTTGAGTTAAAGTAACATAAGTCTGCATCATAAAATTAATCTTGGACAACACACTCCACCGTCATATTACCAAGTAATCAGTGCCCTACATCAATTCCAAGCTTAATTTCTTAAAAAAACCGCTGCATCCCCACACCTCTTTTTGAAACTTCAACACCTATGACTTGCAAATGACAAACGAATCCAACTTTATAGCTGTCCCATACGAACCCATCCTCAACTTCCTCTACTATCTCCCCATTCTCAGACACACCATTACATCATTGTAAGCAACCCCCAGCCACTGACTACAACCGGCACACCACTGCCCAATCCAATTAATAGTTTTCAGTCATCCTGCTCTCTTCCAAAAGTATTTTCAAAGCCTACTTTGCTCTAAAATACCTTTGGATACCTGTCCGTTCTCCCAAGTTCTTCGGACAAGCCTAACTTTCCTGTATCATACTATTATGCAAGAATAACTGTTACACCACACAGGTTGGCATATAGGGAATTAAGCCCAGCTATTCTGGAGTTAGCACAAATGTTCAAGACCTTCTTTAAAACTACACCAAACTCTGCAAATTAGACCCAAGTTGACAGTCCTTTAATTGTTCATTCACATGAAGCGGGCATTTCTGGCTAGTGATTACTGCCAATCCCAGCAGCAGTTCAGACTCAACTACATTGCTGTGGATCTGGAGTCACAGACCAGATAAGGATGGCAGTTTCCTTCCCTAATGTCCTTTTAGTGAACCTGACGGGTTATTTCTTTGATGAACAATGCATTCATGGTCAGACTCATTTCAGATTTTTATTGAATTTAAATTCCACCATCTGCCAAGCAGGAATCGAACTTGGGTCCCCAGAACATTACAAGAGTCTCTGGATTAACAGTCCAACTATAATACCACTAGGCCATCACCTCCCCCAAAAAGCTAAATAGAATTACTATTTATTAAGATTCAAACTACAAGGTAGACAGTAATGAACTGTTGACATAACTCTACTAGTTAAAACTAACTCCTCCTACATACAGACAAAAGGAAGTGTTATAGTTGGAGGGAAAGACTGGGAAGGCAGTTCAATGGTGACTGTCCACACAGTTTGGAGATGATCCTTTTGATTTGTCAGGACTTGTCACTGCCCAATCTTCCTTTTCCAGGTAATTTTGCTTGCAGTAGGCACACAGCAACAGTCTGATATGTAAAAGTGTCTAGCTTATTGGTTAAAAGCTACAGCTTACAGTGACTGATTGGGGAGGTTTTGGGGGGTATGAGGGGAAGACTGGCTTCCTTCAGACTTGAAGTAATTTTTGCTGTAAGGAAAAAATATTATTTTCCTTTCTGGAGGTCTGATGGCTTCTGACCAAAAACATTCATACCTACAAATTGTGCAGCTATTTGGGAGCCAAACCTCAGTTGCTGGCAGGCAGAAAGCCTTGGTCATTGGCTTATGGAATGGTGACCAGTTGTCAGCTACTAGTTTCCAGCCAAACTCACTGTGTATACTCTCTGATTCCAGCCCTTTTGTAGGTCTTCCCCCACTGCAAACATCACTTACAATGAATGTCAGGTAATTTGCTTTTAAAAAGTGCAGCCATCGTTTCTATGATCTTTGGTTTTCAAAGCAGTTCTTTTGCCATTTCAGGCCACAATACAAGATAAAAATAAAAAGATACACAGTCTTTACATATTGTACCTTCCTTGCCGGATCTCTCTGCTCCTCTACAGGCTGCCAGTGGGGGGGGGGAAAAAAGTATGAAACACTGAAAGATGAACTTCCAGTCCAAACAAAAGCCCAGGTCCAACTGGCCAACTACAACATTGTTGCAGACCCCAGAGATTGTCAGTGTGATATCACCAGTACCCAGAGCCACAAGACAGTCACCTCATTCAACTCCCATGGTTTGGAGGAGATTCAGAGCTTGTTCTTTTTTGCCTATCTTTTAACAACCACCCGATTTAAAGGAGATGCAGTTAAGTTTGCACATTAGTGATTAAATAACCTGTTTTCCCACTTGTAAAATTATACATGTTAAGTTTTGCTTTCTTGTTTATTGGTGAAACATGGAGTTTCTTTTAGTTTTTTAATCTTAATTAGTGGTCAAAGACAGGCAAATTAACCATCTTGGTGATTAAATTGATAATATATACATTTGTAACAGCTCATGGAAAGGGGAGGCTCAATTTTCAGTGCACACCTCCCATGTCAGGTGACAGTAATTTTCTTTGAAATCAGGGCAGCATTTGACCAAGTATGGCAAAGTGGCTCAGCAAGACTAGAGCCAATGGGAATCAGTGGAGAGGCTCCCTGCTGGTTTAAGTTATACCTATCACAAAGGATGACAGTTGCAATTGGTAGAAGTCAATTATCTCAACAGGTGTTGTTCAGTGTTCTAAGCCCAATCATCTTCAGCAATAAACCCCCTCTATCACAGGATCAGAGATGGGGTTATTCGCTAATGATCGTGCAAGTTCAGCACCATTCACAAAACCGCAGCTACTGATGCATATGCACCAAGACCCAGAGAATGTCCATGCTTAGACAAGTTTCAAGTAATAGTCACACAACACAAATGCCAGGCAATGACCATTTCCAACAATGGAGTCTGTCTATAGCCGCTTTTAGTTGCATCACTATGGCTGAATTCCACCACTATCTTGGGGATCATCACCAACTTGAAACTGAACTGAAGAGTCGTATTTAGACTGTGGTTACAAAAACAGGTCAGACACTAGGAATCCCGCAGCTGGTTAACTCACTTCCTAATTCCCCAAAGCTTATTCACCATCTCTACGTCACAAGTCAGAAGTGTGACTGAATACTCCCCACTTTCCTGGATGGGTGCAGATGCAACAATTCTTAAGAGGCTTAACACCATCCAGGACAAAGCAGCTCACTTTGGTACCCTATCTATCAACTTGAATATTCACCCTCACAATACAGTGCCAACTCACTGAAGTTCCTTCAACAGCCACAAATATGACCTCTACAACCTGGAGGGGTAGAGCAGACGATGTGTGGGAATACCATCATATGCAAGTTCTCCAAGACACGGCATTCTGCCTTACAGGGGAACTTGCAGATGGTTCTTTCACTACTGCTGTGTCAAAATCCTGGAACTTCCTTCCTAACAGTAGTAAGTGTCCCAGACCGAAAGGACTAATGGTTCAAACAGGCAATTAGGGATCAACAATAAATACTGGCCTAGCCATAGACTATCACATTCCATTTAAATGAATAAAATTAAACAAGGCTGCTGAATTCACAGATATGACCTCACATGAGCGCCTCACGTAGGAACCTTTAGGTCAGGAAGGCTCAACAAAATTTGGTCCTCACTGAAAAGACTTTAAACAGTACCTTTATCCACAAAAAGTATCTTTGTTAACCAAAAGGGAGTTGCATGTCATAACTTGCTGGCACTATTAGGACTAAAAATACCTACTATAACTGGAACACTGGAAATATTGAGAAGTTTTCCCAAAACTTGCACATATTTCTATGTGCAACAAGGTGGGGCTTAAAACTCAGGTCAAGGGCAAAGTTAGCAAAAACAGAAACAAACTATCACACAAGATACATAATAAAATCTGATGCTTTGTTGCTGTAAACTGCTATAATTTATACAAAAAGTATGCAACACATGTCCTCTTCCACTGGCACCCTTTACTGCCTCCAGCACAGATGCTGGAGAATATTTACAATTGTTCTGGAACACATTGCCCAGGAAGGTAGCTGAGGCATAAACCCTAAATATTTGAGAAGGTACTTGGATGAGCACTTGAAATGTCCTAACATTCAAGAATATGGGCCAAATACTGGAAAATGGGACTAGCATAGATTTAAAAGGTAAACCGAAATTGCTGGCAAAACTCAGCAAGTCTGGCAGCATCTGCATTCTTCCCACAGATGCTACTAGACCTGCTGAGTTGCCAGCAATTTCTGTTTTTGTTTCAGATCTCCAGTTCTTTGTTTTAATTTAGTATAGATTTAGTAGTTTAACGGCAGACTCTATGGGCCAAAGGGCCTCTTCTGTACTGTGTGGAATTACATTTCCAGAAGGTTCTATGCAACTGACTGAAAACTGACCTAAAGGGCTGTGTCTTTAACTCATCGAGAGGGGTGGAGTGCAATGTTGGAAGGCGTCAGTGCAGCAACAGACAAAAACGCTGACACTACGCCAACTAATTCTGTTAACAAGATAGTGTACATAAAAGCTTAAGTTCCAACTATGATGGGATGGGCAACAAATGCTGGCCAGCCAGCAATGCCCACATCCCACAAAATGAAAACAAAAAAATCTTTCTGAATAGAAACTTAAATGGTACCTTGCATTAACAGTGCCAGTTCCACAGATTTAAATGAAATGCTCTAAAAGACATACCACTAATACCAGTTTCACCACATTCGTGCGGTTTACTGTATTCAAAATGTTAGTTCAAATCAATAATGGGGGACATGGGTTCGGAATCAGTGGGGAATGATGCAAATTTGGAGTCAAATTATTGCAATTACACTAACAAAATGCATGACAACTTTACCTAAATAAAACTAAGTTACTATGACGTCACTGGATATTTATAGCGCATTTACATTTTACTAGAACCCATTTTGTTCACAGAACTTAAGCTCTTTAAAGGGAGTGATTTTTAAAAAAGCCGAATTTAACGTATTTAAGAGTCACCGCTTAAATACTCAAAATAATTACATGTCTGACCAATGGACTGAAAACAGACTGCACTTAAGTTACCTTGTGATGTCATAAACTAGCAAGGCACCAGCAGCTCCTCTGTAGTAAGATCTTGTGATGGAACGGAAAGACTCTTGCCCAGCCTATTGAAAAAACAAAATGTCCACTTTTTGTTACAATATCCAAGGCACATTTGACCAATAGATTACAAAGCATGCACTTGTTTACAGGTTAAGTGTGGAGATCACCATTAATCTAGTTGCTGGTCCGACAAAATCCATCTCCCAGCTTAAAGCCAGAAACTGTTTTTGAGTACTTGCATACTGTAAAAACGGGCAGAAAAGGATGGGTGGACAGGCAGACAGAATGGAATGAGTGCAGCAGGGAGGCCACATAGACATGGGAACAGTAATTATAGCAGTTACTATACAGTAACTAACTTTTACAATTGTAAAAGTCATCAACTAGTCCTAAGAAGAAAATGCAGGGAGTTTACAAAATGCAGAAACCATTATAATGCTACTTCAATTATTCCAATACAACTTAGAATGAGGAGGATCGATGTGGAAGAGATTCTGAAGCATATTCAGGATAAAATATCCTGACTACAAAAATCTGATTCAACAAGGCTCTGACAAAACAAACACCAAAGTCAGTGTTGAAATTGAGTCCGTCCTCTGTTAAAGAAACGGAAACAACTGCAGATGCTGGAAATTAGAAACCTGGGCGAATTTGAAACATTAATAAACAAAAATAATGCAAAAACGTGGCTCAGTGGTTAACACTGCTGCTTCAAGACACCACAGACCCAGGTTCAATTCCACCCTCTGGCAACTGTGTGTGGAATTTGCAAATTCTCCCTGTGCTCTGGCTTCCTCCCAGTCCAAAGATGTGCAGGTTCAGTGGATCGGCCATGCTAAATTGCCCACAGTGTCCAGCCATGGGAAGTGCAGGATTACAAGGATAGGGTAGGGTTGGGTCTGGTTCGAATGCTCTTCAGAGAGTTGATCTGGACTCGAGAGGCCAAGTGGCCTGCTTCCACAAGGCAGGTGATTTTATACTTCTCTATTCAGGAGATGATGCAAGAATAGTCAAGCTACATTGCCACATGGGCAATGACAGGGCAAACCAAATCCAGAGCTACCTGAATGAAAGGAGGGCAAGAGATGAGGGAGCATGTATTCAAAAGACTGAAAGAATAAAGCCTGCATGTCAGGTTGATAATACGAGAACCAGGTGTAAGACGGAAACGGGAGATTTTTTAAAGGGAAAGACGACATCAACCACAATCTAAGGAAACATACAAACATATGAAAGACAAATATGGGCAGACCACTGAAATTGTTGATAAGTCTGCAACTGCTCGGACTGTGGCTTCTAGATTCCTGTCCACTCATACCCATTGGACCCTCAGTCAAGAGCCTCTCGCTGGCTTAAAATATTCAATAACATGACCTCTATTGCCCTCCAGCAAAGAAAATTACATAAATTAGTGAACCAGAGGAAAGAAAATTCTCATGTCTTAAAACACAAGAATGCTTAACTGTGCCCAAAGTTTAGTCTCTCCCACAAGGGGAAGCATCCAACCTATCCAATCAAGATCTCATTTGTTTCAATAAGATCACCACTCAGTCCTCTAAACTCTGGTGGACACAAGTCTAACATGTCCAAGCCCTTTATCCAAAGGATCATTGAATGAACCTTCTGTACTAATTTTAATACAATTATGCCTTTTCTTAAAATGAGATCAAAACTGTGGAAGTACTCCAGATGTGGTCTCAATGTCTTGGACAATTACAGCAAAAATAAATTCCTATTTTTGAACTCTATTTGCCTTGCAAATACTTGCTATACTTGTACATTAACGCTTAATGAATGAATCAGGACACAGATCTTTGTATACCAGAGGTCCAATTTTTTTTGCCAGCATCCACATCTAGAGTTCATCTGCCACCATTTCAGCCACCTCCAGACACATTCCTGTTCTCCACCCCCACCCACTCTCTTATCAATCTTCCACAGGGACTGTTCCCCCAGGGACACCCTGGTCCACACTTACACATCCCAACAGCCTTACAGCATCTTCTGTGCACTTGCAGGTGTAACATCTGCTCAGTTACTTCATCCCTCCTCACTATCCAAGGCCCAGTCACACATTCCAGGTGAAGCAGCGCTTTACTTTCATTTCACTCAAATCTAGTCTAATGTATTTGTTGTTGACAATATGGTCTCCTTCACAAAGGGGGTGGCTCAATGGTTAGCACTGCTGCCTCAGTGCCAGGGACCCAGGTTTGATTTCAGCCTTGGGCGACTATCTGTATAGAGTTTGCACATTCTTCCCATGGGTTTCCTTCCACAGTCCAAGATGTGTAGGTTAGGTAAATTGGCCATGCTAAATTGCCCATGTGTCTAGGTGGATTATCCATAGGAAATGTCAGGCAACAGGGATAGGTAGGGAGGTGGATCTGGCTGGAATGCTCTTTGAAGGGTCAGTGCAGACTTGATGGGCCAAATGGCCTGCTTCCACACTGAAGGGATTCTATGAAGTGCAGACTTGGTGACTTGGCTTTGCAGAACATTGTCTGTTTTAAAAAAAACCCAAAGCTTCCAGTTGCCTGCCACTTCAACACACCATGTTCTATAGCTAACATCTGTCTCAGGCTTGCTGTAGTGCTCCACTGAAGCTCAGCACAAGCTGGAAGGACAGCACCTCATTTTCCACTTGGGAACCCTGCAGCCTTCTGGACTTAGTATCGCTTTCAATAATTTTAGGGCTTGAGCACCTTTCCCCATGTTTTCTCACACCCCCACACACCAGACCTGTCATCAAATGGGCTGCTACCACCACACACTACCCATTGTCAGCTACTAACAGTCCCCATTAGCAGCTATTCATTCTTCCAGACTAACATTAACCATGCTGTCTGTCCAACTGTCTCTTTGGGCTCTACCTATAGTTTACTCCTCCCACCCTCTTGTTCTGTATAAAAAAATCCTTTCCCTAGATACCATCAGTTCTGAAGGGTCAACGTTAAATACAATTTCTCTCCACAGATGCTGCCAGACCTGCTGAGATTTTCCAGTGATTGCGGTTTTTGTCTCCAATTTTTTTGTTTTGAAGACTCAAAGTTCGTTGAGGGCTACTTTATGATTTTCAGGAGCTAGGTTTTTGGATTTCAGGTGCTCCTTTTTCCCCTCTTACCAGCTCCTGATGGTGCAGTCAGTGTAACAAAAAATTCAATGCAAATATATACACTTGAAATCTTTTAACATAGAATCTATAAATAAAATGTTATATTTATGAATAAATATTCCATATTGTTGACAGACTGGAAATTCTAAATGTTGGGCACAAGGTAACATATTGGGAATGAAAATCAAAATTCTAATTGGAATTTCAAAATTACAGCTGAAAAGACATCAAATTTGTAATTGGCATGAAACAGGTTGTAGATAAAACAATAAATGGAACACATTTATAGCCAAGTCCTTCATATTCTGTGCATACTTAAGCTCATTCATGCTTGTGTCAAAAGTAGAAGACAAAGCTAATAAGTATTCACTTGAGTTTGAAAAACTCAACCATTAAAAATCAAAACATTAGATGCAGTGTTTGCAGGATGCCTGGCAACTCCATATGCTTTCACCCACAACCCCATCTGACCTCTAACTTGATGAAATAACATGACTGCAGATTTCATGATACAATCTGCAAATACCAACATGAACACTTGAGTTACGTACAATTAAAAGCTTACATTTTAAGCCAATCATGCTACTTTACTTCAAAAATCAGACCCAAGCAGGGAACCATGGGGACACGGAATGGCCAAGAATGAGGAAAAGCAGAAGTACTAGATGCAATAAAAATTGGCAGAAAAGGCACTAGAAAGTCTAGGTCTAAGAAAGAAAAGTCACCAGGATCAGATGGGATGCATGGAGGGTAATACATTGGAAATTGAGGAAGTAATGGTCCTAACTCTTTAATCCTGCTGAAAATATAGTAGGCTGGGAGAATTGAAAAGGTTACAGCTTTCTTTTCTGAACTACTGGCTGGTCAACTGAACCTGAGCAAAACAGAAAAAACCTATATAGTTCAGAAAAGCTACCATGGATTATTTAAAGGCAGAATTAAAATAACAAATTAATTTTTTGATGAGATATCAGGGGTTGGAGTATTGCAAGGAATGTTATGGAACAGGAGGAAGAGAGTAATAAAATTGTAGTTTGTTTTTCCAAAAGGACAGCATGATTAATAACAGCACTAAATCAAAAATGGAGGTGTTGCCATTCAGGCAATGCCCCAAATTTACCAACCATACTAAAACAAAAACAGTGTACAATTAGAACACATTTAAATTACAATATCTGCAATGCATACTAGTCAAAAGAGCAAGAGAGACCTAAAGGTGCATATGCACTTAAAACCAGAGACAGAGGCTCAAGTTGGCCATTCAGCCCATCAATTCTGCTCTGCCACTCAATGAGATCATGACTGACCTGTTAATCTTTGACACCACCTTCTTGCACTATCCCATAACTGGAGCACAAACTGATTGAGGTAGGCCGAATAAGTGGTTAAAAAAATGCATATGCAGTCCTTGGCTTTATGAGCAGTTACAGAACAAAAAGGATGAAATTATGAAGTATCTTCATAAAACAGAATTTTGGCCTCAACTGGATAAGCATTCAATTCTGTGCTTCATACTAAGATAAATGAGAAGGTTTGCAAGGGTACAGAAAATAATTACAAGGATGAACCTCAATTGCCCTTGAAATCAGTTACATGAATAGATTATGGCAAACAACCACTGCTTCGCCAAAGTGAAGACAAAGAAAATTTAGAAGAAGTGGGCAAAACAAAAGGCGAAGTAGAAAGAAAGAAACTGGTCCCATTGATGGAAGGGTTGACAACCAGAAGAGACAGTTGAAAAGGGATTGGTTAAAAAGGTTACAAGGAAAGGATTTTAAAAATTAGCAAAAAAATGACAAATTTGGACTGTAATGCATGAAAGGTTGGTGAGGTAGATTCAGTTGTAGCTGTGGAAAGGAAATTGAAAGAAAGTTCAGTGCTGAAAAAGCATAGGGACACAGTAAATTAGCTTTACAGTAAGCAAGCACAGGCTCAATGATCCTGTAACCCTTGTATGATAACATAAGGGATTTAAAGGAGAAACCATTCCGTTCCCAGAAAGCTGACCAAGGATGCCAATCAAAGACAAATGGCAAATGGCAAAAGAACCATTGAAGGGGATCTCTTCTGTACAGCATCATTTGGAATGCAATGTGGGAAAGGTGGTGGAAGCAAACCAAACAGAAACTCTCAGACTGGAATTAGCTACATACTTGAAAAGAAACGTCTGCACAACTTTTTGGAAAAAGAATTGGATTAGTCAGAAAGCCTTTTCATGGGTATGAGCCATATGGCTTCTGTCTGCACTACACAACTCAATCCAAGTAAAATATCTTGCAAGGTGCACGGGAGAGGCAGAAAGCAGACAGGGCAACCATGGGAAGAAATGTCAGCCAGAATCCTATCTAATCTTTCTGCACCACTCAAGTGAAAGAGATCAGCAGTCCAAGACAGATCCTGATCCTTCTGTCTTGTAACCACAATACAATTATTTTAACTGAATCCCTACCTCAGTAGCAGCATGTTTTACGAATTCTACGAAAGAATGAACCAGAAACTAGAGATTTTTTTAAACAACTAAGTTCCTAGAAACATTTTAAATACTAAAAGAGTCCTTTTGAAAATACTCATTAAATGTAAAAAGAGAAAAGTTAACTATATTTATATGGGAAACTAAGATGTACAGAAAGCATAAATGTCAACTCGAATTCAACTGATTCATGTCTACCATATATTTAAAAAGCTGCAGTCATTTACATTGTACTAGTCACATGAATCAATTTAGCAATCAACTAGATACATTAGAAGCCATTTGAAATTCAGGAATAGACTTACAGTATCCCAAATCTGAAGTTTTATTTGCTTTCCATCAATGGTTATCATTCGAGCACCAAATTCTACACCTGAATTAAAAATGGAAAAGTAACATTAATGGCTGAAGCATAAGGAGACGACTTTGCAGAACCAATCTGATTAAATATTGGAGCGATAGGAGTGAAGAGAAATACAAACCTCTAAATTTAAACAGAGAGCTTCTTTCTAAATTGCAGAGACATTTAGCATTCTGTACTGACCCCAATACAAATTACAAATACAAATACAAAGCAATGCAATTTAACGCAATCCAGGATTATTTAATTCCGAAAGGTTACAATTTAAAATGTCAGATACACTATTTAAATTGCTCACTTCATCCACTTCTAATTTCATCACCATTTTACCATTAATATCCATAAGTATGCTGTTCTGTTGTACAAATTTCACATGCAACACCATTATACAAATGCTTAAATCCTCAAATTATTCAGCTATTGGGACGTTTACCAAATGATATTTACAGGTTTAAGAAATAAAAGAGTACGCCGTAAGGTCTTCATTTTTGCTTTGTCACTTAACATGATTAACCCTCAAACTCAATCCACCTTATTTATCTTTCAACCAGGAGGCCAAGATTCAAGTTCCATCTGCTCCTGGGGTGTGTAATAATATCTGAATAGGTTGATTACAAAATAACAATCCACTTTTCAGCCAGCCAATTTAGAAGCCCATGATTCTGAGAGCTCAGCCAATGGCAAAGTATTCACAAATACAGTTGCAACTTGGCCTCCACAGCCTTCTGCAACAATGAGTTCCATAGATTCACCATCCTCTGGCTGAAGAAATTCCTCATCTCAGTTTTAAAGAGTCATCACTCCTGAGCCTGTGCCCTTTAGTCCTAGTCTCTCCCACGGTGGAAAGATCTTATCCACATCCACGTCTCTCAGTATCCTAAAAGTTCCAATCAGATACCCTCCTCATCCTTCTAATCTCCATCAAATACATTCCTTTGCAGTAAAGGCTAACACAGCATTGCCTTCCTAACTTGATTATTGTACTGGCATGTCAACTGTGTAATTCATGTACAAGGACCCATTAATCCTCTAAATATCAATAGTTACCAGTCTTTTTAAAACATTCTGCTTTTCCATTCTTCTAACCAAAAGTAGATAATTTCCCACATTTTACTCCACCGTCTTGCATCCCTTTGTAAATTTGTTTGGTCATCACAGCTTACCTATTGCTTTGTAAAATCAACAAACTTGAGAATATCACACCTGGTCTGCTAATCCAACATCACTAATAAAATCAGCAAACAGGTGGTGAAGCCCAAGGCCTGATCTACCACCTATCCTCAAAAGTGGCCAGTTTGTCTAGTTGATTAATCAATCCATGCCATAGTCCCAATCTACTGAGCCCTACCTAATCTGCCCATTTTAATTTTGGACTCCAGACTTCAGAAACAGCATACAAGGCAAAGAACTTGAGAACTTAGGGTGGCAGTGGTTAGAACTGCTGCCTCATAGCACCAGGGACCTGGGTTCAATTCCACCCTCAGGCGACTGTGTGGAGTTTGCACATTCTCTGAGTGTCTGCGTGGGTTTCCTCCCACAGTCCAAAGATGTGCAGGCAAGGTGGATTGGCCATGCTATATTGTTCGGGGTGTGTAGATTAGTTGGGTTATGGCAGGGGTGTGCATGCGTGCATGCTCACTGAGGGCCTGTTTCCACACTGTAGGGATTCTATGATCTATGACCACTTCAACTTTTGACAAGGTACTACACAACCCTCTAAACGACCGAATTCAATAATTTCAGAACACAATTATTGCTTTGTTTCTTCCAAACTGTAGTACCAGCAATGGATTCTCCAGAGCATGTAAAGTTCTAGACTGTTTCCTTAAATCGCCCTATCATTCACTTTGGCTTTGCAAAATATATTTCTTTAGTCATTTAAAATTTCCTGCCTTTCATACAATTACAGACCTTCCCCCTTTGTTTTTTCCTGTTACTGTTCAATGTTGTTTGGTTCTCGTGTAGATAGCTGCGAGGCAGTGGAGGGGGATTAGTGGCACAGGCATCATTAGTTCTGGATCAACTCATCGTTAATGGACTCCAAGTTTTTTTTTCTTATTCTTAAAAAACTATTCAAATGGCACTGGATTGTGGCAACAATGCAAAAAAGTTTTCAGTGTATTTTTCTACTGTAAAATACACAATAAAACCATTCATACTTTTGCTCTTTCTTAGCCCCTCCACTTGCCTCAAATCTGTTACAGCTCTAACTTTTAACTTAGAAATTTACAGAGGCTGCCTGACCATGAGCATTTCCCATTTCTAATTCAAATTTCCGGAACATCGCTTGTGTGGAATATTAGCTGTGTACATCAGGGAGATGCGGTGAACTACTGGAGAGACCAAGGACATTGGAACAAATCCTCTCATTTCTCATTCTCACAAACTAGCAGAATGTCATCTAACAATGAGAAACAAACAGAGGTTTCGTCTTTGAGGATTTATATGGTAAACAAATTTAGTGAGATTTCTATTGGGAGAGACAAGACGACAAGACAAGGACACAAGCATAATATGTACTCACCAATGGTAAGATCATGTACAGGTTGAAATCGCTTGTCTGTAAACTGTAGTAATAGACATGACTTGCCCACACCTGCAAATCAAATTCCTATTAGAAAATTAAATTCTGTACACTATAATAAACAAGTGCAAGGGCAAATAGTATCACAACAACACTTATGAAAGTGAACAACAGATTACATATGCAAAACAGATCAGACAAACCAAGCCACAAACGACACATTTACAAATTTTACTAGCTGGTAAGATCTAGCCAAGTTCTCAACATTGACTCTGGAAACCAATTAACCTTATGGCATCAGATCAAACATGAGCAAGGAAACCTTCTGATTACCTGGTACCACTTAAACTCAGCTCAAATAAATTCTCCTCCGTGTTGAGCAGCACTTAGAAGGAGGCAAGCATGATTGCGGCTGATCATTGAACTTAGCCCCTGATCCTACTTTGCCCCCATAATTTAACTGCTTCAGCTCTAAGATCTACATTCAACTCCTTTTTGAAAATATTCAATTTCTTGGCCTCAATTACTTTCCACAGGCTCACCATTCTGAGCGAAGAAATTTTCTCTTCATCTGTTGTTAATGGCCCACCAAATATCCCTTTCAACTGTGACCCTGATTCTGGGCTCCACAATCATCAGGAACATCCCTGTCTAGTCCTGTTAGAATTTTTATAGGTTACTATGAGATCAGTCCTCATTCTTCTAAACTCCAGCAAATCTAGGCTTAATTGATCCAGTCTGTCCTCTAGTCAGTCCTGCCATCCTAGGAGGCAGATTGATAAGCTTCCATTGCACTACCTCCTCCAATAAAGGAGACCAAAGCTGCATGTGGAGTGTCACCAACACCCTGTACAATTGCAGCAAGACATCCCTGCTCCTGTACTCAAATCCACCTTCACCACCTGCTGCACTCAGAATCCCTATAGTACAGAAGCAGGCTATTTGGCCCATCAAGTCCACGCTGACTCTGTCTCCCATGGATCCCATGTGCTGTAACCTTTTAACCAGTCACCTGGTGTGCAAAAAGGGTACATGAATTAATGCACCAGAGGAGGATTCCGATTAGACAGATACTTACTATCATAACTACACAGTGTGTCCTCAGAGTGCTCCCTGGACCAAGAATTGGTCGTATAAGCTTGTTTACTTTTAACTTCTGAATGTTCTCAGCTCAAAAATATCCAAGAACAAAGATCAAAGTTTAGCTTTTTTAAAATTCACTCAGGATGCTGCGCCAGCATTTATTGCCCATTCCCAGTTGCCCTTGAGAAGGTGGTGAGCCACCTTCTTAAACGCTGCAGTCCATGCACTGTTGGTATGCCATTAGGGAGGAAGTTTCCTAAGTAACTTTCAACAGTAGTTGCGCAAGTAAAAAGTGAAGCTAAGGTTAAAACAAAGATTTAAACAAAGGATATATGTTATGTACAAAAATGAAAATTAGATACAACCCAATGTTGCAGATTTGGTTTGTTTGAAGATTCTCTTTCCAAAGTCAGATTCAGCAGGTGCATTGGAGTTGAAGGCTGCTTCTACAATGGGTTAAGCAGAATAGCTCCAGAGTGCGCAAGGCTCTTTGTTGCACATTAATGGCATTGCAGGGGTGTCTCCTGGTAGACTCACTCAGCACAATATCTCGTCCTGATCTGCCTATTGAGAAGCAGTGGCTGCTTCAAGACATTTCTCCCGGATTTCAGGCTTCTACATGGTTCAAAAACTTAACGATAGCAATTTCAAATTGTTGAACCATGCTTCCATACTAGGGATTGTTTTAAAATGAGGTTTGGAGAACCAATGCATCTATTGTATTCTGGCAAGACAATCTTAAGAAAACCAACTGTCTCTACCATTAGCTGGGTTGGCTCATTTGATCAGGTTTTTGGAGAAATTGGAAGGGAAATTCATACCTCCAGGTTTACTACTGAAAATACTAACTGAATTTTTAAAGGACTACTACCAAGTTCTTTTGCTGTAAGTAGTCTAATTCCAAACCAGCTGAATCTAAAAGGATGATCATCTGGCTTCTGGCAGCCATTTTGTAAGCTTCTGTCACCATGTGAAAGACAGGATAGCTTTCTTGGCAAAAAATGCTCAACCAGATGATAACAAGAAACTACCTGCAAATGAGTTACATAACTTCAGTGTTTAATTTTATTCATGGCCAACTTTAAAAAAAGCACAAGATATATGACATGGAATTTTCAATAGTGAGAGCAGATTTAAATGTTTTACACACCTTGGTTATGACAAAATGAACACCAATCCTCATTGATTTTGCTTATCCTATTTCCAAACTGAAAAACAATCATGTAGTTGCTGACTTAAGAATCAAAATTCATAACTGTTAGGAATGCTGCAGGCAGACATCTACAAACCTAAAAGGAATCCACCTAAATAGCATTAAATTAATAGAAATAAAGAGATTTGGTTACAATCATACATAGCAGCAAGTATGGTGCAGTGTGCTGTACATTAATTTTCATTTATTAAATCAGTACATTAAAAGCAAACTCTTACACAGAAGCTCTGGTGATTCTGATAATTCTGTAGTAATCATGGGGATTTCACCATCATATACCTGGACAAATCTAAGTTACAGAAGTAGCCTTGAGGACAAGCTCAGGATGCATTAAGGAGAAAACATTTGAGCTGTAAGTCTTGCAATCAACCAGAGAACAGCCAATTTTAGAGCCAGTAGTGCGCAGGGAAATGGGATTAATGATTTCATAGTGTTTGCTCCGCCAGCCAAGAGGGATCATAACATGAACTTCATGTTAGCTTCAAAGATGTGAAATGTGGGTCTGAAAAGTGTCGTAAAATGCAAATGCAATTGCAAAGGTAATGAAGATGGTTAGTTAAGGTAACTGGAAGAGATCTGAAATGTACTCGTAGATAAATTGTGCCAGACAAGAGATATTTCATTAAAAATACTTTTCATTTAGAACAATGACTTTAAGAGCAAGATGAACCATTGATGAAAAAGGAATGAGGAAGCTATCAAATTAAAACCATACGCAAGCAAGCATGAATTAGCAATAAGACAGTAAAAGCTTCTGCAGATAAAGCAGTATAACTGAAGTAAATGCGAGTTCCTTAGAAGCAGAGATGAGAATTAAGGAAATGACAGGCTGTGAACAAATATCTTGCCTGTCAAACCAAACCATCCCAATAATAGAAAATCAAGGGCAAGTGGGAGGAATAAAGGAATCCAAAATAAATCACTGGAGAAAAAAAAAGGAGTACTCAGACTATTGTGACCAAATGCTGACAGCGGTTCGACTTAGTTTTAAAAAGTGGTCACTGGGTCCATTTGATTGCAACCTTCAAAACATCCATCAGTGGTGAAAAGATCCCCATGAATTGGGAAGCTGAAAATGTAAAATCCAGGGAGGGTGACTCAAAGCAATACATCTCATTAGGAAAGCACTGGAATCTATTTTAAAAGCAGCAGATTTTCTCAAAATCTTAATACATTTAGAAAATATTAATACAAACCAGGCAGAATTAACATGTCTTGAGAGAGGGAAATCATGTTAAAAGTAACTTGAGGAAATAATGAGCAGCATAGATAGTGTACAACACGAATTGTATACCTGGATTTCCAAAAGGCATTCAATAAGCTCCTGCATAAAGATAATTGAGAGATTTTGGGGATAATATATTAACAGGGCTGGAGGACTAATTTGACAAGGGCTACAGTGATCAGTGTTGGGACCTCCACTACTCCCCTCAATCTATACTGATGTCTTGATGAAGGCTTTAAGTACATTGTTGCCAAGTTTGTCATCATACAAAACCAGGTGAGGGCACATTTGAGGAGAACAAAATGGGATGAAAATAGATTAAATAGGCAGGCAAGAACTGCCAAATACACCATAACGTGCACGTGAATTTATTCACTTGGGCAGGAGAAAAATAAAAACAAGATTATTTAAATTGAATGCTGCTGTACAGAGGGATCTAGCTGTATTCGTACAAAGACAAAGCTGAGGCAGAATTAATTAGGAATGCAAATAGAATGTCAACTTGACAGAAAGGAGAGACTTCAAAAGTTGGAAATTTCTATCCCAACTGCAAAGTGTCGGTGAGACCGCATCAACGGCATTTTGTAGGCTTGGTCTCCTTATTTCAGGGGAATATACTCACATTGAAGGCAGTTTGAAGAAAATTCAAAGAGGAGAGAAGGTTATTCTATGAGGAATGGTTGAACCTACAAACATGTCAGCCCAGAAAAAGGAGTGTATCAGAGGCAGCAGCTAGTGGCTTGTCATGCTAGATATTGAAAGTTTGAGCAAAGTACTGAATATAAGTGCAGGGAATAAGTTCTGGAACTATACAAGATATTGGTTAGATTGCAGGTGGAGATTTGGGTTAAATTCTGATCACTAGAAAAGGACAATCGCTTCAGAGAGTATAGGAGATTGACAAGAATGTTGTCAGGGCTTGAAAACTGTAGGTATAAGAAAAGATAGCACAAGCTAGGGTTGCTTTCCTTGCAGAGGCGGCTGAGCTCAAATCGAGGTGTAAAGTAACGAGGGGCTTGGATAGAATGGACCAATTTCCTCTTGCAATTCCCAAGGGCCACAGACTGAAGTTTCGCAGGACGATTAAAGGAACGAGGAAATACTTTTGCACCCAGAGGATGGTGGGTGTCTGAAATTTGCTAGGAGGGAGAAACCTTCAGTTTAAAAAAAAAGGAGCCTGAATCTTCACCCAAAGTGCTGTCATCTGCAAGGCTACAGACCAGGTGCTTGGGAGGGAAACTAGAATGGTGGTTAGTTTAGTCAAGTCAACTGGCATAGGGGCAGCATATTGACCTATTTCTGAGCTGTTCCAGGTTTAAGATTTCCTCTGCAGTAGGAAACCAAAAACCTGAGGGCACACTTTCAGCGTGAAGAAAATCCCCATTTTAAGACCATGATGAAGCACTTCTTTCAAAAGGTTGAGAATCTTGGACATTGCTATCTTAATGGGTCTTTGGGTAGACAATAGACAGATTCCTGTACTATTATGAGGTGAAGATTTATGGAACAGCGTCAGGCAAGTGGAGCGAGGCCAAGATTAGACAGAATGAA